GTCAATTTTTGAGAAGGTTCCATGTGGTGGTGAGAAGAAGGTATATTCTTTTTTATGTGGATGAAATGTTCTATAGATGTCTGTTAATCCCAGTTGGGTCATTACTTCTATTAAACCCTTTGCTTCTTTGTTGAGTTTCTGTCTGGTATTCCTGTCTAGTGGTGAGAGTGGTGTGTTGAAATCTCCCACTATAACTGTGTGGGGCTTTATATGTGATTTAAGTTTTAGTAATATTTCTTTTATGAACATGGATGCCTTTGTATTTGGGGCATAGATGTTCAGGATAGACACTTCATCTTGGTGGATTTCGCCTGTGATGAGTATGTAATGACCTCCTTCATCTCTTTTGATTGACTTTATTTTAAAGTCTAATTTGTTAGATATTAGGATCGCTACCCCTGCTTGTTTCTTGGGTCCATTTGATTGGAAATTTTTTTCCAAATCTTTAACTCTCAGGTAATGTCTGTCTTTGAGGGTGAGGTGTGTTTCCTGTATGCAGCAGAAGGATGGATTCTGTCTTCAAATCCATTCTATTAGCCTGTGTCTTTTATGGGCAAATTAAGACTATTAACATTGATGGCTATTAGGGACCATTGATTGCTCATTTTTGTTTGTTTTGTAGTTGTTCTTGTTGGTGGAATTATGTGTGGAATTTCACCCCTTTGTTCTTTTGGCTGTTGGTAGAGAGGGATTCTCTAATGCCTATGTTTTTCTGGTTGCAGTTAAATTCCTTGGGCTGGAGTTTTCCTTCCAGAACTTTCTGTAAGCTGGGTTAGTGGATACATATTGTTTAAATCTGGTTTTGTCATGGAATACCTTGTTTTCTCCATCTATAGTGATTGAAAGCTTTGCTGGATATAGTAATATGGGTTGGCATCCGTGGTCTCTTAGTGTTGATAGAATATCTATCCAGGACTTTCTGGCTTTCAGAGTTTCCATGGAGAAGTCAGGTGTAATTCTGATAGGTTTGCCTTTATATGTTATTTGACCTTTTTCCTTAGCTGCTCTAAGTATTCTTTCTTTATTTTGTATGCTTGGGGTCTTGATTATTATGTGGCAAGGGGACTTTTTTGTCATCCACTCTGTTTGGTGTTCTGTAAGCTTCTTGTACCTTCATTGGCACGTCTTTCTTTAGGTTGGGAAAGTTTTCTTCCATGATTTTGTTGAATATGTTTTCTGTCCCTTTGAGTTGGGTTTCTACACCTTTTCTATACCTATTATCCTTTCACAGTGTCCCATATTTCCTGGATATTTTGTGCTAGCGATTTGTTGGACTTCAGGTTTTCTTTGGTTGATGAATCCATTTCTCCTAGTGTGTCTTCAACACCTGAGATTCTCTCTTCCCTCTCTTGTATTCTGTTGGTTATGCTTGTGTCTGAGTACCTGTCCATTTCTCTAGTTTTTTGATTTCCAGCATTCCTTCAGACTGTTTTTTTAATTGTCTTCATGTTAGCTTTCAATCCTTGCATTGTTTGAATTGTTTCTTGTAATTTTTGCTTCATGTTTTCCTCCCTTTCTTCCATTTTTTGGAATTTTTGGTTTGTTTTTTCTTCTATTTCTTGCATTTTTTGGTTTGTTTTTTCTTCTATTTCTTTAAGGGATTTTCTCATATCCTTTTTGAGGGCCTCTATAATTTTCATGAAGGTGTTTTTAAGGTCATTCCCTTCTGCTTCGTCTGCATTGGGGTGTTCAGGTCTTACTGATGTAGAATCTCTAGACTCTGGTGGTGTCATATTTGTTTTTCTGTTGCTGAGTGTGTTCTTATATTGCCTCTTCCCCATCACTTCTTCCAGTGGGTGTAGAAAGAGTCTCTTCCTCTCCTGGTGGGTAGGCGACCAGGGTTCCCTTTCAGTAGGTGCAAGCAAATCCAATACTCTCTGGCTTCTGCTCTCTGCCCTCTGACCTGGGTTTGAGTGGAAGTGGAGCAGCTCTCTCTTCAGGCTCCTGGACGCTTGGTCATCCTTCCAGGGGGAGTCGACCTGGCTGCTGTCCCCAAGCCAGGGATGAAGGAAATTGGGTCTAAGATGGGGACCCAGTGCTCACCTCTGTCCTCTGCCCGAAGTGTGGGCAGAAGTGTACCAGCTCTCTCTGCAGGCTCCTGGTAGCTTGGTCATCCATGGGGGGGGGTGCTGCAATGATAAATGGCACACTTACTGAAAGTAAAAATAAGTATTTATTGTAGAAATTACTCACAAGAGACCAAACAAGTAACCCAGATGAGCTGAGTAGTTTTCTGCCGTCGAACTGGAGTCCGAAAGCCGGAAAAAGAGAGAGAGAGACTTCCGTTGTTCAGTCTTTTATACCTTCCTCCATAATGTCCCTAGCCATGCCCAAAAGTGGGCCTGGCTAGTGACGTAGTTCACCGCCTACGTCCATATACATCTTTAGTCATGCCTAAAGTGGGTGTGTTTAGCGGTGTGTTAAACTGCCCTTTTATTACCTCATCTATATGCGCCTCTAATAAGTCACATGGCTAATGGCGGCACACGGTTTCCTCCTGGGGGGGGGGCCGGGGAGTCGACCTGGCTGCAGTCCTCAAGCCAGGGGCTCCGAGAGAGGCAAGCAGGTCTAAGATGGGGACTCGGTGCTCACCCCAGGGCTCTATCATTTTCATGAAGTTGTTTTAAGGTCATTCTCTTCTGCTTTATTTATTTGCATTGGAATGTTCGAGTCTTGCTGGCGTAGAGTCTCTAGACTCTGGTGGTATCATATTTGTTTTTCTGTTGCTGAGTGTGTTTTTATATTGTCTCCTTCCCATCCCTTCTTCCAATGGATGCAGAAGGAGCCTCTTCCTCTCCTGGTGGGTATTGGAACAGGGTTCCCTTCTGGTGGGTGCAGGCAAGTCCAATGTTCTGGTAGCTATCCTCTTCCTGGTCTTATGGGTGGAGAAATGGACTAGGATGATGGGTTGCTATGGTTCCCACCAGGATGGAAGCCCCAGTGGTAGACCCCAGGCACAGAATAGTGACGAGGAAACAGGCCCTGGTTGATTTAGTCCCATGGGTGAAGCAGGAGACTAGGATGCTGGAGTGAGTTGGTTCCCACCAGGATGGAAGCTACAGTAGCAGACCCCAGCACAGGCAAGTGGCCCAGAAACAGGCCCCGGTTTATCTAGTCTCATGGGTGGGGCAGGAGGCTAGGATTAATACATAATCTTAAGAAATAAAGTCTAAAGAGTTAGTGCCACACTATGAACACCAAACACTAAACACCAGAAACTGTCTTGTGATGCAGCAATGACCTAAACAATCTGGTGAAGAGCCTATAAAATGTTTCTTCTTACCTAAGGTCTATTTAGGCTAATAGAGAATGACCGTGTATGGCTAGCCCCTTTATCTTTGCTAACTTTGTAAAGCTTTGGCTGTTTTGGTAAACTGAGTCATACAAGAAATTGTGCTATTCTGTAACAGTGCGTGATGTAAGGACCAGGAAGTAAAGTTCACTGTCTCTCTATGGATGGTATGCTTCAAAATTTATTGTGTTTATGCTTTAAAGTTTTATTTTGTGATAATGAATCTTCAATTCAATCTTCAACTCAAATATTTAAGGCTGAAACTTAACATGGGTAACACTGTAAAATCTTAATCTTATCAAAGTTACTAATTTACTGTTAACTGTTAAAGATGATTAAGATATGCAAGTTAATAGTTGCCTTATAAATGACCGGATTCTGTTAAGAGAAGCTTTTTCCTTGAGAGGAGCCTTCCTGCCAGCTTGGTTCTAGAACCGCATCAGTCCCAAATAAACACACAGGAGGCTATATTCATTATGAAGCTGTAGGCCTTGCTTGTTTCTTACTGGCTAGCTCTGACTTAAGTAATACCCCATAATTGTTAATCTAAGTATTTCTCTTACCGGAGAATAGTTCCGGGCTTCCTACCCCATGGCGGTACATGTTGACTCTCTTTGTGTTTCTCTTACCCAGAGTCCTCCTGGACTCCTAGTCCCTCCTATCTAGATTCCCTATTGGCCAGACAGTGCTTTATTGACAAATGCACAGGACTTCCCCAACAGGATTCAATGCATTCAGAATTATACTTGTAGTCATGGTAAGTACAAATGAAATTTATTTACAGGGATAAGCATTATTTAGCCTCCTGTATAGGTTTTTAAGGTTAAGCCTAAAGCAAATAACTAAAAACAAGTAAAGTTCACTTAAAATCAGGTTTGCTTAATAGATGGCCTCCAAACTTTTAGGATATCTGCTGAATATGGCATGAAAAAATGTCTAATGGAGCCGGGTGGTGGTGGCGCACGCCTTTAATCCCAGCACTCGGGAGGCAGAGGCAGGCGGATCTCTGTGAGTTCGAGGCCGGGCTGGACCGATAGCCTCCGAAACAACACAGAGAAACCCTGTCTCGAAAAACCAAAAAAAAATAAAAATTAAAAAAAATGTCTAATGGAAGAAGATTCCAGTAATGACAGAAATGCCAGCTCCTGGTAGCAACCTAAGGTCTCCAAAGAAGACAGATGGGGCATTGTTATGTGTACTCTGTCCTACCAGCTGCCTGGGTCACACTGCTGTCTCAGTCCCCAAATAACACATGAGACACTATATTAATTATGAAGCTGTTGGCCATTTGCTATAGTTTCTTAATGGCTAGCTCTGACTTAATTATTAACCCATAATTACTAATATATATTTTTATAAGGTCTTATCTTTCCAAGGACGCAGCCTCATGCATCCTTTCCCTGAGATCTCTTCACTACATTTCCCAGAATCCTCCTAGAATCCACCTATTTTGCTTCCCTATTGGCTAACAGTGATTTATTCAAACCAATCAGACAAACATACACACAGAAGGACTTCCCCCATCAGGGCACAGACCAGGATTGTGGTAATGCTGATTACTAGGGAAAACAGCATCATACCTTGCATGCTGCCAGTGACCTATGCAAACTGAGGGTGCTTTTGGGTGAATTTCCCTAATCTGCCTAGGTCAAAGTATGACAATTTTCCCAAATTCCTTACCCACAGGAAAACCTTTTATACCTTCTAGGTCTGGCAGCAGAAGGCCTCTGTTGTCCTGTACAGCAACTGAAGATATAATCCTGCCCTATATGATAGCTGGAGACATATGACCTCTGTCCCACAACAAAAGCACTGAGACAACAGAAGCCTACTAGAGTAATCATCCAGGTAGCTGATAAGTCTCTATCATTTTAATCAGTAGAGAGGACATTTGGTTTATACTTCCTGCTATAATTTATGCTTCTCAAGTCTCTGATGGTGTTGACTGTTGTGGAATATTAGTTGAGGATATGTTACATTTGTTTACAATGTGGAACATTTGTTTAATGATGCAAAGTGTGTTGCATTCTTTAATGTTGAATTTGTTTAACTCTGTGAAGCTGTGTTACTTTGCCTGCCTAAAACACCTGATTGGTCTAGTAAAGTGCTAAACAGCAAATAGCTAGGCAGGAGAAAGGATAGGCAAGGCTGCCAGGCAGAGAGAATAAATAGAAGGAGAAAAAGAGAACATCAAGGAGCAAGAGAAAAGAGGAGAGGGGGACTCCATTGGCCAGTCACCTAGCTATACAGCCAGCCAGAGTAAGAAGTAAAGGAAGGTATACAGAGTAGAGAAAGATAAAAGCCCAGAAAGCAAAGATAGATGGGACAATTCAAGAAAAGCCAGCTAGAAATAAACCAAGCTAAGGCCGGACATTCATAAGAAAGAATAAATCGCCGGGCGTTGGTGGCGCACGCCTTTAATCCCAGCACTAGGGAGGCAGAGGCAGGCGGATCTCTGTGAGTTCGAGGCCGGGCTGGACTGACAGCCTCCAAAACAGAGAAACCCTGTCTCGTAAAACCAAAAAAAAAAAAAAAGAAAGAATAAATCTCCATGTGATTATTTGATAGCTGTGTGGTGGGCCCCTCAAAAAGAACAAAGAGAAAAAAACTACAGTTGATGTCTAACTGTAACTTTGCCAGTTTGGAGCAGCAGGCAACCAGCTATTTCCCCAAGGCTGCAGCTACATTGATAGTTCATTTCATGTATAAAAATGAGGTCTTCATACAGAGAAACCCTGTCTCGTAAAAAAAAAAAAAATGAGGTCTTGCTTCTTCTAGAGCTACCAGGTCTCCTGCTGAGAAAGGCAGAGAGGTTTGCCTTGCTAACAGGCTTCATATCAAAGGATAAACAGGTTTCAGATGTAACTTTTTACTGTTCCTTTATTTAAAGGAATTTATTTTGCAGTGATTGCTCTCTGTTATCAACCACTTGTGTCTCATGGTAAATAATTAAATAGAAAAAGAAGGGTTAGAATTTATGCAAGTTCCAAGGGTCTAAGACAGTAATTTCCAAGGATGAGAACATATAAATGCTAATATCACATAAACAAGGACGAGGCATAGGGATAAGAGATCGAATGTGATAAGAAATTAGACTTCTATATTATGTATACTGAGATCCATGTTCTTGTTACACATCAAAGAGTGAGTGAAATAAGGTAGTTGGGAATACCTGTTTGATGCAAAATGGAAAAGTCCTATAACAATTTTGAGAATTATTAAGTATGTAATGGAATTTAAAGAATTGAAACAGTATGTTATCACCTAGGGAGAGAATATAAACAGAACAGACCTCCTGGTGAAGAAATAGGAATGTAAGGACACAGTATTTTTTAAATTTCCTCATAACCTAGTTTTTCTAATACACAGCCAATTGTGCAACACCACTAATAGTCTCACTGTTTATGAGACAATATCTGGAAATCTTGATATAAACCATGTTGACTTTGAACTCACAGAGATCTACCTGTCTCTGCTTCCCAAATGCTGCAGTTAAAGGAGGGTCCAACCATACTTGGCTTTGCCTCGATTCAAAATGGCTTTCATAAATAAAGATTAAAACAAGCAAAAAAGAGATGAGAAATAGAAAGTGAACAAAATATTATATAGGTGTTATAAGGTTATTTCATAACCTAAGTACACCAATGAGAGCACTATCAAAGGCTCATTTAAAACTAATGATTTATTGTGATGATACACTGTTTATGATTTATTAAAGCCACTGGAGCTCAAAGTAGCAAAGCAGCCATACTAGTAAACTGTAGAAGCCAGGCATACACCTTTAATCCCAGGACTCAGTATAAAGATGTAGACAGATCTCTGTTAGTTCAAGGCCACCCAGACTGACTACACAAAATGATCCAGTCCTAAAAAAAAATTAAAAAAAATAAAAACAGCTCACACAAAGGTGATCTCAGTACTTAGGATAACATGCCTTTAATCCCAGCACTAGGGAGGTGGAGACAGGAAGATACAGCTGGGTGAAGAAAGGAATATATCAAGGAGGAGATAGTAATTAAGAGCCTTTTGCCTCTGAGTATTTGTAGAGACAGGATTGCCATTTCAACAGGGTAGAGGTAAGGTCTACTGGCTAGGCTGCTTTGCTTCTCTGATCTTCAGCTTGAAGCTTGACCACCAATATCTGTCTCTGGCTCTTTTATGTATCATGTCACAACTTATCTCTAATATCTCCAAAGTATCAAGCCTCTGGCTATAGTTACTGAAAAATAGAGAGAAGGGAAATCACCGTGACTATCTGTGTGATCAGGATAGTTTGTGCTCACATTATCATTCAAGCAGAAACTGAGTATGTCTTCAGGTGGACTTCAATTATGAAATTCACCTTTAACTATAAAGCCATTTGTAAAGAAGGAGAATGACCTGGAATGCTTCTGGAAAAAAGACACATGAGAGTAGAGCAGGTCAAGAGGAAACACAACCAGTTCAAGTGCCATGTACAGAGTCTAGATAGAGAAAAATGAACCACAAACTGACTTAATGGTTCTTATGGCGATATGCCTGATATTGCTTAAAGAATACATGTACAAACATACACATACTAAAAATAAAACCCTAAAGGAAGTGGTTGAGGTGAAAAAGGATTAACTCAAGTGTTTTATCAAATGTTGGTATCATCTTTCTACAAAGTAATAAAAAGTAAACATTATTGCATTAGAAGATGACTAAATGGATTGAAATCATAAAATATGACTTTTAATTGATTGGTTACTGTGTGCCAATCATTACTGTACTGTTATATATCATAAGTTTACTTAATTCTTTTACTAAAACTTTAAGGTGTTTTCTTTTGTACTCCAGATATTAACGATAAAGCACGGGGAATTAGACAATTTTCTCAAGTTTCTGAAACAGGTATGGCTGATTTCAAGCCAAAAACTTTTGCCCCACAATTGATCCATTTAAGAAATACATTGAATGGGGGGGGGGGTGATGGAGGTAGGAGAAAGGGAAGGGGAGAAGAGGAGGGGGAGGAGAAAATAAGGGATCAGGAAGACAGAGTCGGGGGAAGAATAGTGGAGACCAAGAAAAGAAATACCTTAATAGAGGGAGCCATTGCAGGTTTAAAGAGAAATTTGGCACTAAGGAAATGTTCAGAGATCCACAAGGATGACCCCAACTAAGAATCTAAACAATAGTGGAGAGGCTACCTTAAATGTCCTTCCCCTATAATGACATTGATGGCTACCTTAAATGCAATCCTAGAGCCTTTATCCATTAGTTGATGGAAGCAGAAGCAGAGATTCACAGTTAAGCACTTAGCAGGACTCCTGGAATCCAGTTGTATAGAAAGAGGAGCCGGGTGGTGGTAGCGCACACCTTTAATCCCAGAACGCAGGAGGCAGAGGCAGGCGGATCTCTGTGAGTCTGAGTCCAGGCTGGACCAACAGCCTCCAAAACAATAAAGAGAAACCCTATATCGTAAAACAAAAAGAAAGAAAGAGAGAGAGAGAGAGAGAGAGAGAGAGAGAGAGAGAGAGAGAGAGAGAGAGAGAAAGGGAAAGAGAGAGAGAGAGAGAGAGAGAGAGAGAGAGAGAGAGAGAGAGAGAGAGAGAGAGAGAGAGAGAGAGAGAGAGAGAGAAAGAGAGAAAGAAAAGAAAGAGGAGTGATCAGCAAAGGGGTCAAGACCATGCTGGGGAAACCCACAGAAACAGCTGACCTGAAACGTGGGAGCACACAGACCCCAGTCCTAAAGCTGGGGAACCAGCATTGGACCAAACCAAGCCTTATGAATGTGGGTGTCAGTTCGGAGGCCCGGGCAGTCTATGGGGCTTCTGACAGTGGAACCAGTATTTATCCGTAGTGCACAAATGGACATTGGGAGCACATTACCCATGGAGGGCTACTCTCTCAGCCTATATACACAGGGGGAAAGGGGAAAGGCCCTCCTCCAAATGATATGGCAGACTTTAATGATCCATCATGGAAGGTTTCACATTCCCTATGAGACAACAAAACTAATAGTAATGGGCACTGAGGTATTTAACCATGCCTCCTGATCACCAAGACAATTGAGCAAACACATAAAGAGAATGAAATTGAAGTTTGTGACTTTGGAGCACACATCTCTTTCAGGGGTAACTGTTCTCCACTTGGGTATCTGAGGCAACTACTGAGTCATAAAAGAAAAAGCAGATTAAATTGGAAATACAGTACCTTATTTAAGTTAATCTGAAAAAAAAACTTATTATACTATCATCAGTGTGTGATGTCATGGTAAGTTCATTTTATACAGTTGATATTTTGCCATAACCTTAGTTTCAAAATGTACATGAAGAGAACACATTTTATCTGTATGCCTAGAAAAACAATTCTGAAAATACATCCTTTACTCCTCTGACCTTTAGTTTCCCTGCAAGCTGTGTAAGTTTCCACCCTTAGAGCTGTCTTAGTGAAACATCCAGGAGATTCTGCCAGGGTTTCACTGTCTGGTCTTTCCATAGCACCTCATGGAAGCCAACTGAAGCCTGGAGGTCTGGGCTTCAGGCAATACAGGTAGACTGTGCACAGTGTTTATTCTGGATTATCTGGTAAGATTTCACATTTCTCTACAATCAAGACATGTTTCCATGCTCATCTAGAGGTGACAGAAGCAGGGAGAGACTGTGACAGCTGCAGTCCTGGGCTGGAGTCACCTGTGGAGAGTCTCTAAGGCAACCCCATGAGGAAGAGCTGCCTCCCAGAGTCGCTACCTGGAGATGGTGAGATGGCTGCAGCCCTGCAGAGGGATCACTAAAGCAGCCCTGCTTTCAATGCCCTGGACCCCAGCAATGCAGAGGTAAGACATCAGGGGCCTTCTCCAGTACAGGGATGCTAATCTTAAATTAACCCTGGAAAATAGTTCTCCTTAGTTGCCAAAAACATGTGAGAAGTGAAAGAAAAGAACTTAAATTGACACAGGGGACTACTCAGGCTTCTGCCCAGAAGTCTAAGATATAGTAAGTCTCTACAGAGAAACTGTTCCTTCTTGTCTACCTTATACAGGAGAAAATGAATTTGTTCATTATTACAAGAGGAGAGTAAAAAGCTGTATCATAATTTTTATTTCATACCTTTGACAAGCAAAAATATAAACAAGTTATGTAGATTAAATTAAAATGAAGAACTGAAATGCTTTATTCTTGAAAAATGTAGTTAGGCAAGAGTTAGACTTCTTTTAATCCATTTGTAAGTCTCTTCATATGAAATACTAAAAGTAATTTAATAGTTTTTTATATTTTATAGGGAAGAAGGATTTTTATTCTTTCCTAAATTAATCTTTGAGTTATGGTGATAGAGAAATTTATTAAAGAATTGACAGCATGAGATTGACTTCAATTTTAAAATTTATTCATTATTTATGACAAGTGTTCCTGTCAAAATCAATGTGCACAGACTATTCATTCCTGAGCTGGAACATTTTGGGATGTAACACATCTCAGATTATCATTTTTCTTTCCATCCAGGTTGATCAATAGCAGAACTCAGGGTCAGTTAACTGTGAAAAGCTAGTGCTAAAGAAATCATTAAATGACTCTTTCAAAACAACTATTTCAAACACTATAACCAGTTAGTTTAGTGAATCTGCCTACTTTAGAATCAGGGCCACAGTTTAAAGTAATTTCTTCATAATTGTCATGGGAAATGTTTGAGAGATCATAGCTAACAAAACATAGAACTTTTATATTATATCTATGCAGAGGAACAGACAAGGATGCTTATAAATGTACCAGTTTTATCTTTAGCTGGAATCATTTTTGACAAGTATTTTATACATCATGTGTTGAATGCCAAGAATGTGCCCATGAACACATCACCACGACCTTTGTTGAAACCTTATCCATCACCTTTAGAAGCTTCTTTCTTCCTTCTCTATTCATCACTATAGGAAATGTGATCTGCTTTATCACAATTGTGTGAATACAGTACAGTAGGGTACAGCCATTGTTATTTCTTCTCCAGATGGCAAGTTACCTTTGTAACACTGGGCAATAGATGCTGGTCAGCAGCTCACTTGACATATGTGTTGGCAGTTCTTAGATGTTCATGGGTATATAAGGAAATCTATGTTGAAGTACTATTGAATTGTGCTGAGTTCACTGGTCCTTTAAGTAGAAACTATGATGTAAATGATTTTCAGCAAGCTGAATAAGTGTTGTATAGATAAAATCATTTTCTCATTCAGCTACTAATTACTACCACCTCACTTAAGTAATGTCACAGAATATAAGCCTAAATTTTAATTGAAAAGAAATAGTCCATTGATTTTCCTACTGATTTTATACTATGTTTTTGTTTGTTAAAAATCATTGAAAAATACATTGGATGTATATAATAGATATACTGCATAGAGAAGAAGTCATACCTACTTTCAGACCAGTGTTTGAGAGAATGTCTGACAGTCTTAACCCATGTTTTGTCACATTTATATATTACTTTTATACCAATTCTGGTAGAGACAGAAAAGCTGTGCCCAGAGCTGTTCTAAGCCACTTGTATTTGATTAGGAGAGATGAGACACAAATGGAAAATTTGCTTTTAAGAGTGAAAACTAGCTTTACTATGCTTAGGAGAGAAGAAATAGTGACAGAAAGGGCACTGTACTAATTCAAGTATTGTCTAGAGGTGAGCAGTCCACTCAGAGTTTTACAGCTCAGTGTTAAAACTGTATTACAAGTTCTGTATACAGTCAGGGACTGTTGAGATGGTATTTATAAATGAATTGTGAGCATAGTACAGTTCTTCAGGAGGCAGTTTCCCCTTCACCCTACTAGGAAATTCCACAAGACCTATAGGATAAGGGGAGATGAGTAAATACATAACAAGAAAGGAGATTCTAAATGCCAGGCTAAAGAGCACACAAATGGATGCTATACTGAGAACAATTGTTTTCCATATTCTACTTCGAGGTTTGTGCAATCATACTACAAATTGACACTGAGGAGAGAGCCAGAGAAGTCCCTGATCACAGAGGCATGAAGTACAGATGAACCAGAGCAAGAAGTCCACGCTCAGCTGAAGCAACAGAAACTTCGGCCTCACAACCTTCAGAACAGGGTAGATACACAACCTAGCAGGGAAGAAAACTTTTCTTAAAAAACAGCAGCTCCTCACCTTCCCTGGCTCATCACCCAATCAATGTCTTTGCTCTGGAATTCAAACTCCTGAACATAAGTTCTTTAGCTACATGTCATATTGGCTCCCTGTAGAAGTTAGGCATACATGATCAGTAAAAGGGAAAAAAAACATGTGTGAATGTGTTTGACCGTGTGCCTGTTAAGTATGCTGAACATTAACAGGTTGTCTAAAAACAAAGATGAGTAATTCAGAGAACAAGAGGAATGAGGACTTCAGACAGAAATGACCTTTAAAATGTTCAAAAAAGAGAAAACCAAAAATGAATATGAAAATTGGAATGTAAGGTAGGAATTCTGAGACTTATACAGGTACCAAAGCATGCAGGTTTATCAGGGCAGTTTTCCAAAAAAAGGTTACTTCTAAAATTAGCTGATACGTGTTAAGCACATGGGTGATAACCTCAGTGAACCTTGTAATTGTGTAAAGGCACAAGACAAGAATCAATACAAGCTATCATTGTGGTATAGATTTGGATGACAGTGGCTGAAACTTTTTATAGTGAGAGATATACTGTCTACTTTATATTCAAATATACCATATTTAGTTAGAAACAAGATTGGGTATACAAAAAGATAAGGGGCCTGAAAAAAACTTCCATATCATTAAATAATAAATAGGAGGACCAATGTTCTCTAAGAAGTGAAAGAAAGAAGACTGAAGAATAGTTTTATTTTCAATCTGACATTAACAAAAAGCTAAATTCATACATAACTTCATGGAGCAGGTAAAAAGGTATCTTCACTATACTTAAACTACCTTTATAAGAAACCAAATGGTCATGCTATTTGTCTTTTCCAAACTTCCAAATGTACATGTGAAGAATTCACACCCTGAAATAAGAGTCAACACTTCAAGGTCATCTAGATAAAAAGAAAACTCGAATATTAAACTCCTTGGCCATCAAAGAATCCTCAAAGGTACACATTGACTATAATAGGTAGCATATATGCATTAATTCTTTCAGTGGTTAACCTGATATTTCCCTGCATCTAACCCTGTATTTTACCAGTTACTTTCAGAGTCTACACTGACATTATTTTTTGTTCTCCTTGTCAACCTATGCACTACCTCACTCTCCTATTCTTCTTACTGTAGAATATAAACACTGAAAGATTATGGCCCCAAGCAATTTCAGTACCTTGCATGTTTTTATCCTGCTTGGCTTCTCTGACCACCCTCAACTGGAAATGATGCTCTCTGGAGTTGTCACCTTCTTTTACATTATCACTTTGGTGGGTAACACAGCTATCATTCTTGCATCCCTCCTGGATCCCCATCTTCACACACCAATGTACTTTTTTCTCAGGAATTTATCTTTCCTGGATTTGTGTTTCACAACAAGCATTGTCCCTCAGATGCTGGTTAACTTGTGGGGACCTGAAAAGACCATCAGCTCTGTGGGTTGTATTGTTCAGCTTTATGTGTATATGTGGCTAGGCTCTATTGAATGTCTCCTCCTGGCTGTTATGTCCTATGATCGATTCACAGCTATATGTAAGCCATTGCATTATTTTATAATCATGAATCCACATCTGTGTATCAAGATGATTGCCATGGTCTGGAGTATTAGTTTGGCCAACTCTGTAATATTATGCACACTCACTGTGAATTTGCCTCGCTGTGGACACAATGTTTTGGATCATTTCTTGTGTGAGTTACCAGCCATGGTCAAGATAGCTTGTGTAGACACCACAACAGTCGAAATGTCTGTTTTTGCTCTAGGCATTGTCATTGTCCTTATGCCCCTCATCCTTATTCTTATTTCCTATGGCTATATAGCCAAAACTGTGCTCAACATGAAGTCAAAGGCAGGCCAGCAAAAGGCAATGAATACCTGTGGGTCTCATCTGACTGTGGTCTCCATATTCTATGGAACTATTATCTATATGTACTTACAACCAGGTAACAGGGCTTCCAAAGACCAGGGCAAGTTCCTCACCTTGTTTTACACCATCATCACTCCAAGTCTCAACCCCCTCATTTATACCCTAAGGAACAGAGACATGAAAGATGCACTGAAAAAACTCATGAGATTTTACCACAGATTTGCAGAAGTAAAGAGAAACTAGATGTCAGAGAAAACTATTGGAGAGGACAAAGCAATGAAGTAGCTTCTCTAATTCAGATTTGAATAGAGAACAGTGGCTGAAGTAATTCTTACATCCAGAACTTGAATGGGTTCAAACAACTTGAGGATCATCAAGCAGAACTTCAGGTTTGTTTGTTTGTTTGTTTGTTTGTTTGTTTGTTTTTGGAGACAGGGTTTCTCTGTGTAGCTTTGAAGCTTGTCCTGGAACTCACTCACTCACTCACTCTGTAGACCAGGCTGGACTCGAACTTACAGAGATCTGCCTGCCTCTGCCTCCAGAGTGCTGGAATTGGAGACATGGCAACCACCTGGCAGATCTTCAGGTTTCTAACTATCGGCGTATTCTCAGAGAACACATGTCACTAAGAATCTGTTTGCTGAAATGTAAACTTGACTGCATTTTGATTTGTTTTACAGACCCATGGAAACTGCTTTGTTTCATTCTATATTTTCTATACTAATGTTCACATATTCCAAAACATTGACCCAAATGATTTCATGCCCATTGTATTTTATACATTAAATAACTATACACAAATAATTTGAATTATTTATTTGTCTGTCTGTGTATTTTGAGTCAGGTTTTCATGAAATCAAGACGATCTGAAAAGACTTATGTAGATGAGGATGACCATGAGCTTCTTGTTCCTCCTGCCTCAATCTCTCAAATTCTGGGGTTATAGATATACGTTCATGTTACAGGCATGTGCCATATCCCCAGTCTGAGTGGTGCTCTGTATTGAACCAAGGGTTTCATATAGGCTCCGTAAACACTCTACCAACTGCACTATGTTTCCAGCCCTGTAGATAATTTTATATAACGAATAATTTTAACATCATCCAAACATTTATTTATATTTAGCTCAGATAATGTGATCATTATCTGAGCAGCAATCATCTTAACCCCCACCTCAAGAATGACTTGTTCACCCTTTGTTCAGTGATACTTGGTACTAACATCTTTTGCAACTACCTACTATTTTTTCTGAGATGAGTGAATGAAAACTAACAGATTAAAATGTTTTAAAAGTGACCAACACAGGGCTGGAGAAATGTCTCGGTAGTTAAGAGCATTTGTTGGTCTTCCAGATGACCTGAGTTTGAGTCCCAGATCCCATGTGGCTGCTCACAACTGTCTCTATTTCCAGTTCCAGAGCATCTGACACTCTCTTCTGTCCCCCAAGGTTGCCAAGCACACATGTAGTATACAGCCATCTATCTAGTCAGGCAAAACACCAATAACATAAAATAAATTTAAAGGTAACAACACAATCTTGGTCATTTCTCAGTCATTCACAAAAAAGTACATTCCATGATTATCAAAACTTAATTGAAAAGGGAATATCATGAATGTGGCACCAGTTAGAATTTTGATATATATGCTATGAAATTTGTGAGACTGTTAAGAGGTATTGTAATATTTGCATGTGATAAAATTTCATAAGGTAAATGAAATTTTTATGTCTATTTATCACATTTAGCTTTTATAAAAAATAGTGTCTTATTTAAACCTTAATGTTTTCTATTATTTTATATCCTTCTCCAAAAGATCTCTGTTTGATAGTTTCAATAAATCAACTAGGCAGTGGTGGAGCACACCTTTAATCCCAGCACTTGGGAGGCAGATGCAGGTGCACCTCTGAGTTAGAGGCCAGCCTAATCTACAGAATGTGTTCCAGGACAGCCCAGGCTACACAGTGAAAAAACCACAAATCCTCAGAGTGCAATGCTCTTCAGAGTGCAATACATTTCTGTCTGGAAACTAAATCTCACCGCAAGACCCTTTGCTTCTTCCCTTTATATCTCCCTAGTGCTGGGACTAAAGTGTGAGTTATGTTACTCTTTAGACTGATTCACTCTCCTGTAGGCCAGGGTAACCTTGGATTTACAGAGATCCATCTGCCTGTTTCCTAAGTCCTGGTGTTAAAGGTGTGTGCCACCTCAACCTGGCTTCTGTGGCTAACGTGCATGGCTGATGAAATTAAAGGGGTGTATCACCACTGTGTGGCTCTATGGCTATGGCTAGTTTTGCATTTTGATCTCCAGTGGATTAATTAAATCATAAATATATCACCACATGTGCTGGCTAGTTTTATGTCATCTTGACACAAACTAGAGTCATTTGGGAAGAGGAATTCTTTTTTTTAGTATATTTCTTTTTATTATTTATTTTTAATTTAAATTTAAATTAGAAACAAGGTTGCTTCATTCTTAATTGAGAAAATGCCTACATAAGATTTACCTAAAAGCAAGTCTGTAGTGTGTTTTCTTGATTAACAATTGACAGGGAGGTAGGAGCTGACTGGAGGTGGTATCACCCTATGCAGGTGGTCCCAGATGGTATAAGAAAACAAATTAAGCAAGACACGAAAAACAAACCATTAAACAGTGTTCCTCCATGGTCTCTGCTTCAATTCCTCCCTCTAGGTTCCTACCCTGTGTTTCTTTACTGATGGACTATTAACTAGAAGTAAAAGTGAAATAAATGCTTTCATCTCCAAGTTGCTTTTGGTCATGGTATTTTATCAAAGTAGTACAAACCCTAACTTTGACAGACCCTTTGTCAACATGGCACACCAATAAAATACTATTAATAACAATAACTGTTCCCTTCCTGCTTATCCCAATATCTCATATTAATATCAATATCACTTTGTAAAACACTCCAACTTTTAATGTCTTTAAAAATTCAAATATTTTAGAAGTTGCATACCTTAAAAATTACCCAAAGTCTGTTTCAAAGTTCAAAATCTATCTAAAAACCCCAAAATGTCACTGTATCTCAACTGTGGGCTCCTGTAAAATCAAAACAACAAGTTAAATACTTTCTTATTCCAAGAGATAAAACCCAGGCCACAATTAAATTCAAAGCCAAGCAACATCGGAGTCCAACATATAAAGTGTCAAACAGAAGACTCTACTCAGCTCCAAAGGATTCCATTTCTCCAGCTAGGCTATTAGTAGCACACACAGCTTGTCTCATAGGCTCAAACTAGTTCCATTCAATGGTTGTTGCTGTCCCTGGTGATTGTCTTATAGTACTGAAATCTCCAAAAATATTGGGCTCACCATTAAAACTACCGTGCATCTTCACAATGGCCTTTTCTAGACTCTTTTCAGGGAGTCTGACTACTGCTACATAGTGCCATGCCTCAGCTTCTCCCCATGACCTCTTCAGTCCTGGGGCATCTACTTCAACTGAGACTTCATACTCAACAATGTCCTCTCCAACCTCTCACAGTACTAAATCTCAACTGCTCTTCATGACCACTTCATTCATACCTTTGAAACCAGTAGTACTATGTGGGAGATTCTTACCAATTATCTAGTTTGACTGTCAGCATGGGGTGCAGGCTCTGCCCCCTCCAAATAGCTTCTGTGTACTGACTTGAGTAAACATGACTCAGAAAATGTCACCTCAGTGATACTGGTGTCTTCTTAATCACTGTTAATTTATCAGCTCTAGCTACACAGCATCGATTGTACCAGCAAAGGAAAAGTTTCACTTTATTGGATCTGGTCTCTTATGAATCCTGGTTGATTCGTTACCCACAGCTGACCAGAACAACAGATTGTTAATTCAAAATATTGAGCATATAGTCACAGTAGAGTCATTGCTTCCCTCTGAAACCTCAAAAACTAGGAATCACTCTCAATAGTCTTACCTTCCAAGCTCCCATCTGAGCACTGAATGGCTTTTCTAGCCCCAAAGTTCAAATGCTACCATAATTCTTCAAAAATTACATGACCATATCTTTTACACCAAAAATCCATGATCTGGTACCAATTTCTGTTAGGGTTTCTGTGATAATACACCATGACCAAAAGCAACTTGACGAGGAAAGTATTTATTGTTGGCTTACACTTCCACATCACAGTTCATCATCCAAGGAAGTCAAGGCAGAGACTTCAGGTGGAGACAGGAATTAAATAGAGGCCATGCGGGAATGTTGCTTACTGGCTTACTCCTCCTGCCTTCTTCAGTTTGTTTTTTTAAATTATTTTTATTATTTATTTTTAAATTTAAATTTAAATTAGAAACAAGGTTGCTTCACATGTCAATTCCAGGTCCCTCTCCCTTCCCTCCCCTCCTCCCGTGACCTCCCACCAACCCCCCTAATATCCCCTCATTTCCCCAGGGAGGGTGAGGCCCTCCATAGTGGTGTCCATAGTCTGTCATTTCATCCAGGACAAGGCCTGGACCCTCCCCCAAGAGTTCAGGGTAAGAGTGCATCTCACATTGTTGGATGGGAGTCCAAAGTCCATTTGTATACCCAGGATAAATACTGATCTACTACCCAAGGCTCAATAGATTACCTAGGCCTCCTCACTGTTCAGTTTGTTTTCTTATACTATCCAGAATGACCTTTCCAGTGGTGACAACACCTGAAGTGAGCTGGGTCCTTTTATACCAATCATTAACCAAGAAAATGCACTACCCACTTGCCTACAGGTCAGTGTTATGGAAGCATTTTCTCAATTAAGATTCTTTCTTCCTAAAGGCCCCTAGCTTGTGTCAAGTTAGCATAGAAACAATAACATAATTTCTTTTAGGTTCTTCAAGTTAATGGAGTACGTTTTTAAATTATTCATTTATAATATTCTAAATTTCCTTGGTGTATGTTGTACTATTCCCTTGTTCATTTCTGATTCTGTTCATTTGGAAGTCTTCTTTATTTTTGTTAGTTAGGCCAAAATCTTGTTTATCTTCTCTAAAAACTGACTCTTAGATTTTTTGATTCTTTGTATTGTTTTCTTTGTTTCCATTTCATTCATTTCTGCTCTGGTTTCTATTATTTCATGCCATCTACTGGATTTGGTTTTGTTTGTTCTTGTTTTTTCCAGATACTTAAATTAAATTATTAATGCATTTATCTATACTCTTTCTGATTTTTTTAATGTAGGTACTTAGAACTATGAATTCCTCTGATGTTTGTGTGTTCCAGAGGTTTGGTTGTGTTGTATTTTCATTTTTGTTTAGTTTCAGGAAATTTTGTTTTCCTTCTTAGTTTTGTCTTTAACCCATTCATTATTTAGTAATCAGTTGTTTAATTTTCAGAAGTTTGTGGACTTCTTAGAGGTTTATTTGCTGTTTATTTTTAAGTTTTATTGCATTGTGATCAAATAGGATACCTGGAATTACTTCAGTTTTTCTGAATTCATTATGGTGTGTGTGTGTGTGTGTGTGTGTGTGTGTGTGTGTTGGTGTCTGGGTATAATATTCTGAATATATCTGCTAAGTTTTTTCAGTATTTAACATGTAATTCTGATGTTTCTCTGTTAATTTTTTTGTCTAAATGACCTGTATACTGGGAAAAGTGGAGTACTGAAATCACCTACTACTAATGGGTTGATGTTAATCTATGTCTTTAATTCCAGTGGTATGCTTTTTATGAAATTGGGTGCATCAGAGTTTGGCTTATAATGGTAATCTCTTTTTTGGTTGATTGTTCCTCTTGAGTAAAATGAAATGTCCCTTATCTCTTCTAATAAGTTTTAGTTTGAAGTCTATTTTGTAAGATATTAGGATATCAGTTCCTGCTTACTTCCTGGTTCCCTTTGACTGAAGTATTTTTTCCATCCTTTCACTTTAGGGCAGTTACTGTCTTTAAAGATGAGGTGCATTTCTTGCAGACAATACAAGGATGTATTTTGTCTCGTAAATCCATTCAAGCCAGCCTGTTTCTTTTGATTGGAGAATTAAGACCATTAATATTTAAAGTTAATTTTGAAAAGTGTGTGTTAGCTAGGCATTGGTGGTGCACGCCTTTAATCCCAGTACTCGAGAGGCAGAGGCAGGCGGATCTCTGTGAGTTCGAAGCCAGCCTAGTCTACAGAACGAGCTCCAGGACAGGCTCCAAAGCAATACAGAGAAACTCTGTCTGGAAAAAAAAAAGAAAAGAAAAGAATGAATGAATGAAAGATGTTTGTTGATTGCAGTCACTTCATTGCTGGCTTTTCTTTGTGCTGTCAGTCATACTTCATGTTTTAGGAATTAATGTTTCCTTGTTTTCTTTCTACAGCCTTTTAGCTATGCTTATTCATCTCTTCAATTGTTCCCAGTATTCTCTTTGGAGTCAGTTTGATGGGCATGAGTCTTGTTAACCTGGTTGGATTATAGAAAATTTCTCTTTCTCCTTCAAATATGACAGGTAATTTTCTGGGTACAATAGTCTAGGTCAACATTTATGGTATTCTAGAACTTGGAGCACATTTCTGTGGGCTCTTCTGGCTTTCACATTTTCCACTGAGAAATCATCTGCTACTCTGATAGGTTTTCATTTATATGTGACTCATGATTTTTCTCTTGCATCTTTCAGTGCTCTTTTTTCCTCCATATCTAGTGTTTTAACTATGATATGCTAAAAGAGTTTCTTTTTTATCTTATCTGTTTGATGTTTTGTGTGTTTCTTGTATGTATATGGGCATCTTAGTTTGAGGAAGTTTTTTTCTGTGATTTTGTTGAAGTTCTGAAGGTCTATGGCATTGAACTGGGATTCTTCTCCCTCATCTATGATGATAAGTCAAAGATTTGGTCTTTTCATGATGATCCACAGTTTCTACAGGTTACTATTTCCTTTTTTTAATTATTTATACTCTTCTCTGGTCTAATTCCTCTATTTTATCTCAAAGACCTAATATTCTATCTTCTATTTAATCCATTCTACTTGCAAGGCTTTCTCTTCAGTTGTCTATTGATTGGGTTATTGAGTTTTTCATTTCCATATTTATTTGGGCTTGAGTTTTCTTCAATATTTCTATATCTTTATTAAATTCTATTTTCAAATCCTGTATTGTCTTCAGCATTTCATTCGGCCTTATATTTGTATTTTCTGGGGCACCACTCAAGTGTTTTTTTTTACTTTCTTCTCTTTACATTCATTTAGTTGTTTCTTCATGTTTTCTTTAAACTCCTAATTTTTTTTCAAGATAGGATCTCACTATGTAGCTTTGGCTGGATTGGAACTTAGTATGTCAACCAAGCTGGTCTCAAACTCATAGAGATACACTATCTCTGCCTCCAAGTACTGATATTAAAGTCATATACCATCCCAACCAACCTTTGAATACTTCAATGAAGTGTATGATGCTTCTTTTAAATTCTGTGTCTGGAGTTCATCTAGGTAATTTTTACTGGAGAACATTTCTAAAGGACTGGTGGATTTGGGGGTTGGAGAAATATTATCTTGATATTTCATATTATTTGATTTTTTGCCATGAGTTCTGAAGATAGGTTATTTTTAGCTCAGTACCTGATATAGATACAACAGGCTGAGACAGAACACAGGATATGTAGTGGGATTGAGGCTGAATGTTATATATGGTGTGGATCTGGTAAATTAAGGTGAGCACCAGAGCCTGAGCTGACACACAGGTAAGTTTCCTAGTCCAAGCCTTGAGAGTAGAGATTATGCAGAGGCACTAGATGTGAGACAGGTCTAGACATGGGGGTTGAGAGTGGTTGCAGAGGGGGAAATCAGCATTAGGCACATTCGCCCTGGAACGAACTGTGCAGGGCCCAGCTATACAGAGAGCTACTGTTTTTCCTTTCCATTGAATCTTGCCCCACCTTCTTCCCACCCTTTTCTAAAAGTGGGTTTGGAAGATATACTCTAAAAATGTCATGTTTGCCTCAGAAATGGTTAGAATCATGTTTAGGTTGACATTGTCACCTAGAAACACTTTTAAATAAGGCAACTGACACCAAAGAACAAAGATTCTAGAACATTCCAAGAAGACAAGAGAGGTTAATGAGGTCTGGGAAATAAAATTTGTCCTGCAACCTGTAATCCCCATGGGCACAGAGCTCCATCTTGATTTTACTGTCTGTGATTCACCCAAAAGATTACAGGCATTACTGACCCAGAGAAAAACATTTTGTAGTTGTTGAGAGATTCGGGAAATGCACCTGTTTTGGAGGAACCTGCAGAGTCCTAACTAGGAAGAGGCTGTCGAACGTGTGCCTTCTACAAGAAGCCAGGGAGCAAAGCAAGTCCAATGCACTGCTTTTTACAGTGGTGGTCCAAGAAGAAAAATATTAACACCTTCTGGAAATCTCAAGAAGAGGAAAAGTTATTATAACTTCAACAAAACTTAGTTCTGCCAGAGTTATTGGATTATTTCAACTCTCTGATAAGAATGCATATTCTTCAAACTGGAAGTCCTGAAACCTTGGGCTAGCCAAGAACCTCCCTGGCCAGAAGAAACTTATTCTCAAGATTCTTGTGTCCCATCCTTCGGCTCTTGAACTACTGAAATGATGGAATCCAATAGATTGGGATTTCCCTAAGAATCTCATGTTGAATAAGTAAAAAAGGTGAAATCCGGTGCCAACCAGAGAAGAAGTTTGTTTCTTGCAGAAAGATTTAACAAAGTTCTGACAACTTGTCACAAACCTTGTGGTAGAAAGAAGCAGTGGCAATAATGTTGGGTGGTGCCACACCCTGATCAGGGTTGCTTTAGTTATGATACCCCTTGCCCTCTATTTAAAACTAAACCCCACACTAGTGACAGAAGATGGACATCGGTGGTTGTCATTTGGTCTCTTTGTTCCATTTCCTAATGTGACCACATTGAATCTCTTTTATCTGCTTTGAACTACTGTTTCTTTCTTTTTTAATCCCTCATATAATACATCCCAAGTGCAGTTTCCCCTCTCTCCCCTCCTCCCAGTTCCTCCCTTTCTCTCTCCCCCAGATCCTCTCCCCTTCTGTTTCCTTTCAGAAAACAGCAGGCCTCCCAGGGATATCAACAGAATTGTCCTAATAAGATGCAATGAGACTATGCATAATCCCTCATATCAGGGCTGGATGAGGCAACCCAGCAGGAGGAAAAAGGGTCCCAGGAGCAGGCAAAAGAGTCAGCGACCCATGCAGACTTCATGATTGCCAGTTAGATTCTGTGATTTCACTTCAGATAGTATAAATTTTTTGTCTTTCACTACTGTTTATTTAACTGACCAATTAATGGCCTATATCTGAGCCAGTGTCCAGTCTTTTATCCCAACAACTCTAAAAGCAGTCACTCAGATCAAACCACACCTTAGAGTTTCAAGAGCCAAGAACAGGGTCAGAAAGTGACAGCTCCTTACAAGGATAGCTATGGACCAGACACCTGATACCAATGGTTTTCATGGGATGCACTGTTGCCACTGAAGTCCTGAACTGTAGCCGTGGCACCACTATAGGGGTACCATGATGCTGGCGAAAACAAGAGTCAACAATTTTAAATTCTAAGACTCACTTTTTGAATTTAAAATTTGGAGGGGCCCCAAATATAGACCCTAGATGTTCTATTGCAGTGGTTGTCAACCTTCCTAATGCTGAGGCTCTTAATATGGTTCCTCATGTTGTGGTGAACACACACACACACACACACACACACACACACACAAAATTACCATAAAATTAATTCATTGTTACTTCATAACTGTAATTTTGCTGTTATGAATCATAATGCAAATATCTGACATGGGACTCACAAAGGCGTTGCAACCACAGGTTGAGAACCACTGTTCTGTTGGTACTGCAAGAAGCATGGGGTGATGGATTAGTAGAACAGTGACTGAAGGGGGCCCTGGATTAGAACAAAACTCACCCAAACACCTGTCTTCACAGAGAGATTCTTTATTAAGCAGAGAAGAAAAGTTAAAGTGGCTGCTTTCTTACTCAGGCAGAAACACAGCAGCAATGACCTTTCAGGTGTCATTCTTAGGAAGAGAAAAAGGGGGGATCTGTGTTAGGATGGGCTAGGATGCAGTGAAAAAGGAGACAGGGTTGAGAGAGGGGGGAACAAGGGAAAGGGTAAGGAGTTTTTGTCCCACAGGGACAAAAGACTACCTCTAGATAGGGAGGAGACAGATGTGACGCCTGTCTCTGTTTCTGTCTCTCTGTCTCTCTGTCTCTGTCTCTCTCTGTCTCTCTCTCTCTCTCTTCCCTCCTTATCTCTTCATAATAATTGCTTTTCTTATTGCACTGATAAAAGGAAGGCTTTACTATGGTTCCCAGTTTTAATGCATACCCTCCATCATAGCAGGAACATGAAGCAGCTGGTCACACTGCATCCATGATCATGAACTTAAACCTGGTGAAAATTAACATTATGCCTAAGGAATTCTAGCTACTAAGTGAATGCCAGGGAGATGATCTTGAATTGACGGATTAAGCTGTCCATGACAAGAGCTATTATTTCTTTAACTCTCCATGATGTGGCTGAATTTTTTTTATTGGCCTCACACTTTGGCAGAATGTTTGTCTATTCCTAGAATTCTCTTCACTGCACTCTTTACATCTTTATTTCTTAAGGTGTAGATCAAAGGGTTAAGGCTGGGGGTGATAATGGTGTAAAAAAGAGTAAAAAACTGTCCTTCCTCATGGGATATGGCATTCTGTGGCTTCATGTACATATATATGAGTGTTCCATAAAACAGGGTTACGACTGTGAGGTGGGAACCACATGTATTAAGGACCTTTCTCCACCTTGTTGCTGACCTGATCTTCATCACAGCCTGAGTAATAACCCCATAGGAGATGAGGATTAGTGATAGAGGTACTAAAAGAAATATAACTCCAAGAGTAAATACAACAATCTCAATTACTCTGGAATAGACACAAGCCATCTTGATCAATGCTGGCATTTCACAGAAAAAATTATCCACTTCCCGGTGCCCACACCTTGGCAACTTCAAAGTCAAGGAACAAAGAATTAAGGCACTGCCAAGACCACCCAGCCAGGCTGACAGCACCATCTTCTGGCAAAGAACAGGATGCATTATTACTGTGTAGTGAAGAGGTTGACAGACGGCAGCATAGCGGTCATAGGCCATCACAGCCAAGAGGAGACATTCTGTGGCTCCTAGGTCCAGGGCAAAGAAGAACTGGAGCGCACACCCTCCATATGTGATAGACTTCTTTGAACCCCATAGATTTACCAGCATCTGTGGAACAATGCTAGTAGTATAACAGAGGTCCACAAAAGACAAATTAGATAAGAAGAAATACATGGGAGTATGGAGTTGAGAGTCCAGGTAGGACACTAGAATAATAGTTGTGTTTCCTACCAATGTCACAATATAGAAGATGAAGACAATGACAGAAATAACGTGCTCCAATTGGGGTCGACTGGAAAATCCCAGAAGGATGAAGTCTGCCCCAGAGCTGTTTATTTCCATTGCTTCTTAAGAAAAGCTAGAAGACAATACTACAGTAACCATAAATAATTTCAAAGTCTCTGACTTTTGTCATGAGTGTCTAAAATCCATCCATCTGCATGCATCTTCTTATTGTAGCATATTTTAAAATATTTGTCAATTACCAGAGCTTCTCCTGTGCATTAGAAACCATTGAAAAGCATGAATATGCAGTATTACCTCACCCATGGCTCTGTGTGTTTTGATTGTGCGTTAAAGCCATAGTAACTATAGAAGTGACACTATATACCATGTATATGTATGTATTTCTGTATGTGTGTATGCATTGTGTGTGTGTGTGTGTGTGTGTGTGTGTGTGTGTGTGGTGTGTGTATGACTAAGTGTTACCTGTGCCAGCCTTGAACCACCCTACCCTGCTGCAGTGGAAAAAAGGTCTTGAAAACATTCCCTTGGAATTATGGCATCGAGAGATGGTGATAAATCTTTTCTTTATCCAAGGAGCTAAGCTTCAAGCAAAAAGTTTTTAAGTTTTTGTATGCTCTGTCACTTGATAACATAAACCCTTTTCTTGTGATCATTTACAAATGCCTACATCCCAGCCATCGTAGCTATCATATTCATACCACCACCACCTCTTCCTTATCTTCTGAGTTTTTCTCTATTCAGTCATGGGCATTATGCTTTCTGTGTCAACTTTGGTGTTCACAGCTACACTTTTTGTTGTTGTCAATGATGGTGTATGCCTTTGTTTCTCAAGAAATAAACTTTCTAATTATTAACCTTTATGTGTTGTACCACTTTGAATACCTAAAAAATATTATGCTACATACCCTGCTCAACTTTATGAATCTGTTTCAGGGTTAAACACCAAACTATTTCCAGAATCATTTGACTATCACGGACACATAGCAACAGACAACTGTCAACTTCTTGTCCCTCACCGACTGCGCAGAAGAAGGCAGGCAGATGACTCAGGAATAGACAGTTCATACAACAAGCAGTGGGGTGACCATCCTTATCAAATTCAATAGCATTTTCTGGTTACTTTGGAGCCTGTCAAGAAAAAAACATCATCTGGTTACCTCTAAAAGAGAATACATGAGGAATAAAACTTTCATCAATCTTGCTATTTCTGAATTGTGTGACATATCCTTACATACATGCAAGGTTTACTTATTAAATATCTTTTGGAAATAATTTTTGTCATGAACTTCAGGCCTAGAGTTTCTTATATTGTTAGTATTCTTATGGGCATGAAAACAAGCCTCCTTTTCATTAAAATAAGATAATGATTAATTATCTCGAGTAAATCATTGTATAAACCTAGAGCATGAAAATATTTTACCTATAAAAAGGAAGTTTTATTCACAAATTATAGAGTTAAAATGTTGTTTTTCCTAGTATAAAAGTGTAAATTTAGCTGAGTATCAAGTTTTTGTATTAGTAGGATGTTTATATATTAGTAGGAAGTCAAACATAGTGCTTAGATGAACTTCTTTTTCTTTTTTAGGGGAGTGTAAGGAATGCTTTCTGAGACAGAATCTCTCATAGAGCAAGCTGAACTTGAATCTGCTGTGTAGCTGGAGATGGCCTTGAATGCAGGATCCCTCTGCCTTTACCTCCAAAGTGCCGCAAGTGCTGGGATTTCAGGCATATGCCACCATCCCTGATGAATTCCAAGCAACATCCATGGTATTAAATCCCAGTCATACACTGTATATATGCTGTACTCTTGGGCAGTAATTTAACCTGTTTGAATACAAAGCTCTTTATATGTGAAGTGAATATTACAGTATTCCTTTCTTCAGTGGGACTTCAGCTCCCAAAACACTATGGTTACAAATTACCTATGTTCATTGGATTTCTTACAGTTGAGAATGTTCATAATTTAAAAGTCATGGTTTCTAAAGTTGAAACAAACCTCAGAAGTTCTGACTCCAGTCTTCTGCAGCATAAACATCCTTTCCAAAGAACATTCAACAACTCCTGTAAGTAGGCTTTCCCTTTAAGTGGTGCCTCTGACACTTAGCATAAAATCTCCTTTTTGATGACACTTAAACACTGGCTCTTTTTTTAATTCCAAAAAGCAACACCAAAGGTGGTCTAGTCACCATAGTTTCACATCTAACATGGTTTAATGAATAAGTAAGACAGATACAATAACAGAATAAGGAAGATGGTGAGTAGATAAACAGTCTAATAACTAGTACTCAGTCAAAAATAATACAACAACCCTGGATGCCTTCTTTGCACTTCACTCATCATAACTTCCTGAGCCACCCACTACCATGATGCTTACTGATGAACCTTCCCTTCCATTTTATTAGGTTAAGGATGTAAATGTAAGTATATATTGTCTCATCGACTTAATCAAAAATTAGAGTTGCAGCAAGATGCTTCAGCAGTTAAAAGACTCTTATCCAGGGAGCCTGAAGAGCTGAGTTCTATCATCAGAACCCAGGCAGGGTGAAAGGACAGAAGTAACTCCCAGAAGTCATACTTTGTCCAATATGTGCATCACACACACAGACACAGACACACATAAATAAATAAAAGCATTAAATGTATATTAAGTTTCTTTTAACTTTAGAAGTTATTATCAAATAAACTCATAGATTTCTCTTTGCACAAAGAGTACTTTACTAAATGTACCTTGTGCTGACTGATCTTGAATTTTCAAGTTGGTTTTGTCGCTGTCCAGTGACCATCATGGTTCAGCCATTATTCAAATTCATGAAGTCAAAGGTGAAGACAACATCATAGAAAATCAACACTACAGAAGAGAACTGGGTACAGCTGTGATCTCAATACCTTTCTAAAACATATGTCAGTATTTTCAAATGCAAATCTTATTGGCTCTTACTAAAGCTTGGATCATTTAAGACCCTGGACCTTCTTATTAGAAGTGCCACAGCAGAAATGTTCTTTGTAATTTCATGGTGTGACTTAAACATAGCATCATTTACATTTTAACCATTCTATTTATCAGTACAAGAATTTGGCCTCAAATTTGGGGTGTTATTTAACTTTAATATGAAAGTGAGTATGATATTAAAATGAGGCTTAGAATATTGTACCTGAAGACATAGGTGGTCTAAAGTGGCATGCTACATTTAAAACAAAGCTGGTTTGTCATTGGCATATTTCGGTTTCCAATAATATAGCATACGTTCAATAATTTTAAGGGAAATAAACTAGGCATATCTGGGCATAGTTTGATATGCATAATAATCTGATGAGAAAATGGAAACAAAATTTTGAAACTGTCTTAATGCTTAAAAGCACATTCATTTATGAATAATAAACCAAGATGTATGTTGCTGTCATACAAAATCCAAGCAGAAAAGGATCAGGTCAAAAGAGTTAAGATACTAGCTTCAGAAAACCTGTGTATCTACTGCCATTGGTTTTTGTAACTCTTGGTTTCTTTGCCCACTTTTACTCAAATGACACCTGCTCTGTTCAGGCTTAGAGAAGGCTTAAATGACAGGATAAATCTAGAATACTTAGCACACTGCTTGATGCCTTGAAGACCATTCAGAAACTTCAGATTATACAGACTCTAGATTTTGAATTTTAGCCCTCTCTCCTAAGAGGTCTCCAATGTGTTCATATTATGTACATGTTCTACACCTTTCAGAATTCTGTTTGTATGTCCGACTGAGTCCTGCACTGTCTATGATCTGATTCTGGGTTGTCTGTTGGATGCAGCAAGCAATACTTACCAGAGGATAGGATGATTAGAATACGTTTCTAAGCAGGAAGAATTTGAAGTTGTCACACTTTTCTCTAGTCCAAATGTACCTATGTTCCCACTAGGATGACCTCACCTTTCATTAATAATGCAGAGAAAGTTCTTGCACAGAAAGATGTGAAAGGACCATCCCATAAACCCATTCATACTTAAAAGCAACAGGTAGACTAAGATTTAATAGTAATAGTATCTTTTAATTTGAATGTTGGATTAAAATTAAATCTAAAAACAATGGAAAAATCAGTAAATCAGTTTTGGCTAACCATATTTTGGTGCAATATTTGAAATTGTTTATTGCATTATATTATTCATAATTACACCTTACATTTTGCATGAGGACACTATGGTGTTTGTTTTTCATTTCAATGCTACTTAACTATAGTGAAGAAGTACTTGTGCACAACTCTAAAGGCTACTGTGTTGGTGTGGTTTAGGCCTGAGGGGATTGGTGTCGCACAGAGGTGATTAACGAAATCTGTAACTATAGTCAGATCCTATCCAAATAGCAATTTTATGAAAGGTTCCCTTAAGACAATGGCATCATCTCTTCCCTTTACTTTAGATTTTTCATTAATAAAGTTAAATTTTATTGATTAATTTTACTACAATAGATTTATATTTTATATAAAATAAATAGCACTTTACATTATAATCTTATTATAATAAAAATAAATTTTATTAATTAAAATGTTAATTTCATAGGTTTAAATACTTAGTATTGTATTAAGCCTACATTGAAATTATAAGTATGACACTATAAAAATTAACACTTTATATGAAATGTCTTTGGATCAATGTATATCACATTCAAGAACTTATTATCTAAATGTTGCATCTACAGAAAGAAAATAGTTGCTCTCTTAATATACTTATGAAGTAATCATAATTGTTAGTACATGAATTGCATCATCCTTGTTTCATTGTCAATGAATTAATAGATGAAAATTCTTGAGGCTATCCCCAATTTGAGGACTGGAAATTTAACAAGATATTAGAGATTCTATCTTCCCACTTCTCCCTCATTCCTATCTGACATTTAAAAGTAATTTAAACATCATAATGATGGATCATGTTCATTAGACACTCACTTTAAAAAATAAAATATATCATGCCCTACATTCATGTGGGAGTACTTCAATAACATGTGTTCTTGTATACATGTATTTGTTTGTTTGTTTTGTTTTTTCAAGACAGGTGTTTCTGTGTAACAGTCTTGGCTGTTCTAGAACTCACTTTGTAGAACAGGCTGATCTCAAACTCATTGAGA